GCGGTGGGGGTGGGTATGATGGACGATCGGGTGAGGCCCAAAGTTCAAGTTCTCCAAGTTCACCGCGCCCAAAAGAAGGGACTTTGGATTTCGGTCCTTCCCGGGTCGCCTCGGAATTCGTCGTTCCCATGTCGAAAGAACGTAAATAAATTTCGATGTTGCCAAATTTCTCCTCGCGGATTCCATTTTTACCGTGAGAATATTGGGCATTCCTAACTGAAAATTTCACAGATTTTTTGTATGAGCGCATTGAAAAGTTAGGCAACTTTGGGACACAAATTGTACAGGTATATACTTGTAAAAGATTGGATCGTTGGAGTCAATTTGGCAACCTCGGAATAGAGTTACGTCCTTTTGTCCGAGAGACGACGAATTTTGGCGGCAAGGGCTCCTTTGGTTCGGAAAGAAGGGGGACTCGATGTATTGTTTCGAATGAGAAGGCCGCGTGTATATTTACTTTTTTGAAATTGGGATGCTAAACCTTAAAAAAAAAAATCAAATTTTAAAGACAAAAAAAATCGAGAAGGGATAAAAACTAAAACTATCTATTAAAAAGGACTTTAGTGGTGCACGGAGGCAAATTTTTGAATGCTAAAACGTTGGATCGAACAATTGTTAGGTACAATAAATAGTTACACATACACTTCAATTCATGACATAAAAAAAACAACTTAAGTACACTTCTTCAGAAAATACTTTAATATTGGTAAAAAAAAAGGTTCGCCTCTTATGAAAAAGCACGGAAGAGTTTTATCACGAGACAAACAGCTGGAAAATTGAATTAAGCGTCCCTATAGTTCTAACGAGGAATTAGGGAAAAAAAATTCATTAGAAATGACAAAATGATAAACGAGGGCAATAAATACAGGTCAATATTCACCCCCAGCTTCCTACTCACGGCTCACGGCGTCGCGCCGAGGAAGGTTCAAAGAGCATCCACTTAAGCGCTTGTTCCATCTATCTCTTTCTCTCTCGTTTCTATCTCTGTTATGCCAAGATGACGCGGCATGTGCACTCATGGTTTGTCTCGCGCGCGGTGGAAAGTTGCCACATCGGGTAAGTTCCAATTTTAGTGAACAGTCTCTGACATACTGTACGTAACCATATGTGGATCCAAACACCTTGAACAGGGAGGGGGCATAAGAGGGGTCCGGGAGCCTCCCACAGAGTATTTTTGAATTTTTGAAATATTTAATATGCAGTTTGAGTCAAATTCGTGATGAATAATTAACAAATATAAGCGACTTTCTTAGTTCTTTCTTATGTTCCTTCCTTCTCTCTTCCTTCTCTTTTTCTTCCTCCTCCTTTTCAGGCGAGCGGGAGAGATGTGCGCCCTCTAGTTTTTGCCCCCCTGGCTCTGCCTTAGTATGTGAAATTCTCTCCTTTTACAGTTGTAAAGAACCTCCATGAAGCGGTTTATGTAAATAATTGATTCGCCTTCAGAAATCCGAATAGGCAAATGTGCAACGTGGTGTACGAATAGTTATCTACATTGCGCCTTTCAACCAACACCCACCATGCTCTTCAAGGAAGCTACATGAACGCAGCGTGCGATCTGAACCGAGAAAAAATGAACGAAGACTGAAGTTATGAGGGGGATCGAGCGCTATTTTGTCGGAATAATTGGCAGATTACTTCCTCCATATTCGATAGTTAGTGTCGAAGAATTCGACTGGCAAAGGACAAATGTTGATCCCTCAATTTCCCAAAGTACTTAGGAAATTTATGAAACGCTAATACGCAAGCTAACCCGGCTAACCCGGCGTACTAGCTGTAGGTTAGAAACAGTGAATCTTATTGTTAGCTGCAAAATTGACAAATCTCGAAAGAACATTTTTGTCACCCATCAAAACATGACGGACAATTTATAAAGGTCGATACAGTTTAAACTTTTCTACCATTTCCTTTCTTTTTTCGCCACATCTGGATTTTTTAAAACATACTGATCTCACATAAAAAAATGCACCCTTAATACAGTCATTCTATCAAACCTAAAAAATTAAGAAGACGGTATAAAGTGGTGGCGCCGCAATTACCAACACTGATGTTTTAATCAAGCCAGTTAGGCATCCCATCATTGCCTACCCTGTTATTAGTAATTTATGGCCAAAAGAAGAGGCTCCGAAAAAAGAATCGGGAAAATGATCAAGCCCTCATTGAAGTCTCAATTATTAACATGTCCAACCCTCATCTTCGGGATATCGTAGCTAAGATGGCTGACCGATTGAATTTGGGGGATGGTCCAGACAGCCAGTGGGACTATGCTTATTTTGTTCTTTCACTCTGTTAAGGTTCTCCCGCGGTGTTGCCAGATTGTTCCCCCATGGAGATCCATATTGTCGGGGATATTGCAAACTACCTACCTAGTCAAAGTAGTCGACGCGAAATCAATGATGAGAATGCAGTGACTTAAAGACCTTCTGGTATCTCAGGTAAGTGGCCCATGAACCATTCATATTCTCAATATAGTGATTGCTTTTTCCTCTCTTCTTCCCCACTCTGTTTACGTTGAGTTGAATAAAAAGACAAGAGATAAAATATTTTTGAAAGGGAGTATTGAGTATATAGTAATGATGTGGAAGTTTTCACGTTTTCGCAGGCGGCGCTAATGTATCTTACAGACTTTTGAATCAATCCTGAAAATATCTTTCTTATTTATTGATATGGGCAAAATTGATGTTTAAAAAGGCAAACTCCATACTGTTCCCATACCGAATGGAGTAAGATGGCCAAAAAGAAAAAATCAAAAACATTTAATTATAATTTAAGTTGAATATTACTGTGTTGAAATTTACGGATTGTTGAAAACTATTGGAGAGCGCATTTTAAAAATTATATAATATTCCCTTATACACCGCAAAAAGTAGGAACTACGATTTTGAATTGAAAATGAGCTTTTTTCAGTCACAGATCGACAAAAATGGCAATCTGGCGAAAGCTACATTTCGATCGGAGGAAGAGCCACGGGGTGGTTATTAAAAAAAATAAAACAGATTCAAGAATCCTCTCTGCGTTGAAGCTGACTCTCACAGATCTCTCAGGGTTGCCACTTGAATCAATATTGTAACCATGGAAAGGTGCCCATTTTTAGGTGAGTCCATCACAAGTTTGTTTAATCTGAGTGTAATTGTGAAATTTTGCCTTCCGTTCAGAAAATAGGAGCCAACCTTTTGACTTGTTTCGGAGACATCATATCTGGCGATAATTTTCTTATGGAACAAGGTGATAAAATAGTGCTGGGTCCACACTACTTGGCAGAGGAATAGGCCAAAAAGTTCCAAAATTTCAATTAGAGCCAAACATTTTGAGTTCTAAAGGAGATTTGTTAGCTGTTTGCCTTGGATTCCCCGCAAATAATGTGGACTCAGCACTATTTTACTACCTTGTTCGGTACAATTTTTGACCACTTTTCTCAGTGTTTTTTTCTCGTTTCCTCATGGAGAGAAAAATAAAACACGGTTATTTCACGGTTACCACGGTAGTAATGTCACACGGGATTCCACGACAGTAAAACCGTGGATTTTGGTAAGATTATCGATGAGGATGGTAGCATAACATGACTGTGCTCATCATTACAATCATCAAAATCCACGGTTCTACTACCGTGGAATCTTGTGAGACATTACTACCATGGTACCCATTGAATAACATGTGTTTTTCTTTTTCTCGGTGCTCAAATATCAGAATTTTTGGCAGGGTAATTTCGTCATGTTTGAATCAGTCTACCTACAGTAGTAACAATGATCAGAAGAGCTGCTTGATTGAAAAAAATGATAGCATTCCAAATCAAGACATGTGCGTAAAATAATACGTAAAACTTGTATAGTGCGCCCGCGGGCCGATCATTGACATCAATAGACAAAGCTTTAGACAAAAAAGTCTAAAGGTAAATGGAAGGATCCTATTGGTGGAATCGGGTGGTTGCAATATATAAAGGAGGTGTGTAATAGCCTAACTAACGGCAACCCACGAGGGAATCTTTACTTAGTCCATCATTTTCTCCCTCAGTCTATAGGAACCACCCATTTCAACCAAAAGGATCGCTTTATTTTCAGTGTATCTTCTTTGTCTATAGCTTTGTCTATCAATTTCAATAATCAGCCCGCAGGAACATTAAATCGAGGTAGGAGATAAATATGATTGATTTTGGGAGGAAGACGGCATCGACGGACGAGAGTATCGGGTGCGAGATAAAAAGCGCGTTTATTCAGAGATGTCTGCCACCCCTCAGAGAGGGCGAACCCTCGCCCTGACAGTCGATTTATTTTGGATCTGACGTCACCGCGCTCGTTATGGCGTCCCCGCTCGGATTGGCCTCTTATTCCTACGCTTTTTCTACTCCCTCCTCCCTCCACCCTCCACCCCCTACCCTACACCTCTTCCAGCCCTTAGGGTACGTTTTATTTTTAGTGGGTTTTTTTGGTTTTCCTCCACCCTCGTTGTATCCGAGAGTGAGAAAAATTAACAAGACGCCTGATAGAGAGTAAGTGTGGCGAAAAATTGCGAATTGAATTTAATTGGGAGTGACTAATGTGGTATGGATCAGTAGAAATCCGGGTGAGATAACTGTTTTAAAAGTAATAGATCACTATAGTGATTCAGTGATGAAAAACTTCATTTTGCAATTAGGAACCACATTTTCTGCCTCCTTTTAAAAACAACATACGCGCCACTAGTTTTCCTATGCACACTAGTGTTTTTATTAGTGGCGAGGCGTTAATGATCGTAGCGTAATGATATTTCCCCTCTGAAGCTATGGTGAAGAATCGATTATTAAGATGTTACTTGCGAACACCCTGCTTTCGATCCTTTTCCGTAGGTTTACCTGGCAGATCAATCGATATATCGCAAAGCACGCCGCTCCACTGGCATGGATCACGTAGATCTTCTTGTGAGCTAATTGTTGTAGAGTGTTAGATCACTAGTGATTCAGTTGAACTTCATTTTGCAATTAGGAGCTACAATTTCTGTTGCACTTTAAAAACAACGTATGCGCCATTAGTTCTCTTATGCACATAAATGTTTTTATGCATGAGCCAGATTTTGAAGTTACTCATTGCAAAATGCAGTCCAGTTCGCCTGTCCTAACTTAAAAAACTACATTTTAACATGGCAAAGCGTAATTTCAAATTTTTTGTATTTCTATTATGAATCGCTACGAAATTTCTTACAGAAAATTTCCGTGATCTCAATGATCAGTTGTAATTGTTTCATCGTTGGCAGATAATATGAATGTCTTACCTTTGAATGCTCTCCTTGGCTTCCAAAAGGCTGTGCTGCACGGAGAGAATCCTTCTTTCTCCTTCGTTTCCACGCGTTAAAGTTATCACAAAATTTGTAAATATTGATAAGACGATTTGGTTTAGATAAAAAAATATTTATACCGACTATAAAATATAGAATTTTGTAAATATGATAAATAATTCTGAATTGAAGGCACAATGATAATTTTTGAGTTTCCTGACACGACGAATCGAAGATAAGGTAATGGTCATATAGTTTTTAGTAGCCTCGCTAGATGCAGAACCGTGATTATACAGACCTTAGAAGTACTAATGAGGTAATATAGATTGCTTAGCTTTGTAATGGAATTTTTTCCCTGAAGGATTTTAAAGAATACAACAAAAAATTAAACAAAATATAAGGGAGATACTATATCGGGAAGGAATGAAACGAACCAAGGCATTCAGGGACCAATGGGACTAGTTTAAAATTTTAAATACTAGGGTTGGATTAAATTTTTACTCCATCTCAAGTGGAATCACTTGGAGTTCTAAAATTTGCCAATTTCAAAAGTAAAAAATTACAAATAAGGGCGCACGGAGGCATTTCAAGCGTAACTTCCTTAATTTGCTCCGTCAAGTATTCTCGATTTGATCAAATCCAAAATATAGAACAAATGTAAAGTTCGGTTCAAGATTGAGGATACTTGGTAATTTCATTTGTTGACGCTTGTGATACGAAATTGTTTGGAAAATTACGTGATGAAGATGTTGTAAGGCAGTTTGCAGAGGCAGAAAAAGTGTCTCAAGTTCATCATGCACTGATTAAGCACCATCCCGATTCAATTCATCGAATTCACATAACCGAACCACACCCGTATTTCAGCGAAGTTCCAATCGTCACACAATCAAAAGTGTTCACGCATGAGAGAAGAGATGACATCGTTCTCTACGTCTCATTGTAATCAATACCACTTATAACAAGTATCGTAGCTTATAAATTTGCAGTTTGTAATTTGGACTAATTTAAGGCTGATTCAGTTACCCTGAAATAAAGAAGATGAAAATAGTTGGTTAGAAAAATGAAGGGAAAATGTATGAGCCTCTAGAATATTTGTCGCGTATTTTCCATCCGCAATTGAGAGAGACCTACTGCATACATTTTGCGGTTTGATCAAAATTTGAAACGCGAGGACAAAATTTCCACATTCAAACTCTAAACTGACGTTTCAATGAAATAAAATTCCCTGTTTTGAAAGTCATGTTGTTCTGCTTTCAGAGATCAAACATACAGAGACCACGTGCATGAACATCTACCTACATCTGCACGATGGAAAAATTTTGAACATGTATCGAACACCATCACAATATCCATCACCGGAGCACTTAAACCCACATTGAGTCACAGTAAGTAAACCTACAGCTTCCACAGTTCGTGGCCTGCGAAATCGTTTTCCTAAACCGTACTTTGGATACATCTTCACAAAACGAGTGCTAAGTGATTAGTTTTTAATTGACTTTTAATAAAATACACAGAAGCTTTATAGAACATTCGGAGTTAAACCTAACACAAATTTGGAACAATAATCGAGTTTTTAGACTTTTAAACGAGAATATTTGATGCCTTAGTCGTACACTGAAAAAAAAATATAGTAGACTTTACCAAACTCGGACACAGTAAAACCAGTATGATAATAAATACTGGACTGTATGGTAGTATTTACTATACTATGGTAAGTATCAACAGATTCTAGTAAATACTACCATAATTCTGGTTATTTTCACTAAATGGTATCACTGTGTAAAAAATCAAGTAGACTTATAGTAGATGTTACCATACTTTTTTTTCAGTGTACTTTTTATCCTTGGTATCACAAACACATCTCTACGCTATCTCGCTATCTCAAACGCATGCCAGACTATTTTGGGGTTTTATTCAGGGGAGTGGAATTGGTTGTTTAAAAAACGAGAGGAAATATTCATTTGGGGGCATGGAATCGGCCGTTTCACAAATGAGAGGAAATCTTCGAACGAATCACCGCACACACAACATAATGAAGTCGAAAATATGGATACCAAGGAACCGACCACGGTCCGTATTGGTTTACGGGCCGCCCATGACTAAGAGATCATGAAGAGTGGAGGACGGACGGATCCGTCCAAGTACCACGAGACGACAAGCCAATTAATCAAAATATCCCACTAGAGAGAACTTAATTAAAATGTATAATAATACAAAGGACGTGGATAGATTGATCCCGTATCAGCGGGAGGGGAGGGCGCGGGGGGAAGCGGGGAGGAATAGAAAAATCATTCCTCCGACACTGAGAAAGAACCGGGTTAGACTCTGAGGAATATGATTGATATGCACCAATACTTCGAGGTCATATTTACGAATAAGTTGTGTGTAGGTGCGTTCGGAGAAGTTGCCCCCACCGCCGGCAAGCTGAGCTTGAGGAGCGTCTGATAAATGAGAATGATCGGTCTGTGATTCTGCGTACGTTTTTTGCTCCTGGCGATGGTTTTGCTCTACATTCGGAGCGAGATGCGTTCGATTTGAAATAGTGATCAATTAGTGAAAAAAAAATAAAATTGCATAGGTGTAAACCGGTAATTGTGAGCGTTCTAGGAGGTTGAAGCTAAAAAGTAACTGAAGGCAGGCAAATTATATATAAAAGTAAGGGGAATAAAAAGAAAGAGAAAAAACTTAACTGAAATACGCATTGTATTGACCCACCATAACGATAATTTCTCTATTTATGATCCTAAACTTACAGAAAACAATTGCGATGGACATACAATATGAATAGGTTCGATCGAAACCCAATCCTGACGGCACTTAATTTGTTTTAATAAAAATTAAAAAAGCGAAATGGATGAAAAAGTTATCTTAATTTATTCTTGTTAAGATCTAGGGAAAGTCAAGTCAGGGAAGGACTGATTATCCAAATAAAAAAAATAATTATACGCACGTGAATAAAATTAATGGACCTTTCATTTGATAGGAGCCTAAGCACCAAAAAAGAATGAGTTCTCAAATTCGAAATAGGTGAGGATAGCCAAGGTTCAAAAGCTCTCAGCACCTCATGACTGGCTAAAGTATTGCCAAAGAAAACAAAAAATAGAGCAGAAATTATGTGTAATCTTGCCACAAAATTTTCGACCTTTCCACGAAAAACCCTCCAAAAAATCAACGATGAAGAACCTACCAAACGCTAAGAATTGCCAAACGAACCAGAATGAAGAGCAAAATGAATAAGATCAGTGTCGCAGAGGCGATCTAACCGAGCCACAAGTCGCGTGCCGGCTTAGGCGCCCTCCTAAGTCAAACTCACGCAACTCCAATGAAAACTATACGCAAATCCGTGGTTTTTCCTTGGCGCGGCAGTGATCTGATCGCCCATTAATTCCAGCGCGATACATCTGTTAACTGGTTCCAGATAGCCAAGATACAAGCTCCGCGATAGAGACGACCTCCGCTGATTAGCTGATTTAAATTCCTTCTTCGTCGTTTATGTCTGTTTGCCCAACGCCCCTCCTCAGTCACTCGACGATTGGGTCTCGACTTCATTCGTTTATGACACGCTTTACGAGCTGAAATTAGACCTCCTTCTACGGAGGCATCGCACGACTTTCAGTTATTTTATGGAGAGGGAGTCACAGTTTTGACACCTTTACGGTATAGCGGCCAGTAATTTGCATTATAGCCACATCCATTGAGGGTTTCAACACAAGATCATAACCAGCTGAGAGCAATTTAAATAATAAACACACGGCTTCAGTGTCAATTTAAGCACGCATAGAAAATAACGATCAGCAGAACTAACCATAACCACCTCCTATTCGATTTTTCATGTTGTGCTTACAGCACGCGTGGAGAAGAAACAATTTTTGTGGCCAATATATTTCTGATTATTTATCATCCCTTGGAATTCTAGTTATCAGTACCAGATCTCTGTCAAACGTAACGTAACATATTATGATAACCTTTGTTGGTTACTTAGTTAATTTAATAATACGATTAGCAGCTATGACTATTTACGTCCCAGTCCAGGAGAATACATTAAATTTTTAGATTTAATTGCTTATGAAGAGAGACCTGCGCCCTTTGCCGTGGTCCTTATTTTTAGTGTATTTTCCGAAGAAAATACACTATTTCTTTTTTTCTGTCAATGCAGAATTAACAGGTGTCTGAAATTTGATGAGCTTCCTTTGTGTCTATGTGGGAACTTCTGAGTAAACTGAACACGAGGAATGGGAAATACCGCCAGTTGACGTCATTAGGTGGTGTATTTCCTCACTTTTAAATATATTTCCACACTACTTTCCATATCAGACCAAAATTATAAAAAATACTGCGAAATCAGCTCATTAAGCACTCATAGATGAAGTAATACAATATTTGCATGCAAATTCTCTATAACAAGAGAGAGAAGAAACATTACAAAAAATTCCCGGGGAAATTTCGAAACATCATTGGATAAAGTCCTTTTTTCCGGCAAGAGGTTCTGGAATGGGGGAAAGATGGAATGGTGAGGTGGGGCGGGGTGAAGAAGGGGCGAAAAAAGTGACTCATAAATCGGATTTCGGCACATAAAACCTGAGCACGTTCCACGTTGCGGACGCATCGGATTCACTTCACCCGGAAACCGCTTTTTCACTTTCACTTAACGTTATTACCACCACCGCCAATTGCTCCTCGCACTGAAATGATGCGTTCAATTCGCGTTAAATTCACCCCTCCGATTTCCAGGTATTGCTTTCACCCCCGTATATTTTCCTATCATCGAAGGTGACCTCTCAGAAAAAAAGAACGTGTAAAATTCGTCTCCTGGGAGGCATGTAACTACACAAAAATTCCTGTTACTTAAAATTTTAGAATGTCTGCTTTTGATTTAAAACCTCCCGTTTGAGGTACATTCCACTCTATTAGACGTAATGGAGAATTTGCACACTCATTTTTTATTGCTTCATCTAAGAGTGCTGAAAGAGCTGATTTTGCATTATTTTTCAACAAATATTCTGATATGGAAAATAGTATAAAAATAGATTAAAAATTGAGAAAATCCACAGCCTGGTGTTGTTGCCTGGCGGTATTTCTCATTTAATTAAACACACGAGTTTTAGTAGATTAGATCACTTTGTCATACATTCTCCAATATTTGTTCAATTTATGAACCAACAGTTTCCTCGTGCTCGGTTTTTTCGGTAATTTCCGCTTGAACTTGAAATTCGTCGAATTTTACACTTGCCAATTTTCCATTCATCTCCAATTTGACACATTTTTACACTAAAACTTAAGAGTGTCTACTATTGTATTAAGATACTCCCGTTTAAGATACATTGGACTCTATTCAACGGAATTATTTATTGCGTTTTTTTTTAAACAAATAAATTTTGTACTGAAAAACTGCAGAAATCAAACAAAACCCTAGATTTCAAAACCATTTCTCTGACAAATTACACCAGATAATTTATGTATACTCAATGTGAAAAGTGAAGAATTAATTAAATGATTCATATAAGTGCCTTCATTCTACTTGACCGACAAAATCACCGATCGTTGCAACAACTTTATGTGGCTCTTAGCACCACATCTTAATATTATTTTTTATTCTGTTTATGAAAACCCAACCTTACTTCCTGGTGTTCTTCAGTCTCATCAGCAGAAATTGTATTAAGATAAGTATTAGGACGGAACTAAACACCATACACAAAAACCACGCGGTGAAAGTACGATTGAGAAAGATGAACGCAACTGATTAGAATTTCTGCTTGAAGTGTTATTCCCGATCTAGGTACCCGCTGTCAGCACATGACTCTCATTAAAATGTATTACGTTATTATACGTTATTAATTTGCAAAACCTTTGGTGATCAAAAATGAGGATTAAACGACCAATTTTGTTCGGTTATTTTACTTTTTTCACACATTCATTGTTCCGAGTCAAATGGAACTTAGAGATGGTAGTATGTAACGTTTCCCCTCGCGATCGTTTGAGATAAAATTTTCCACATTTATTTTTCTCGAAATCAGAAAAATAAATCATATCCGTTTCTATACAAATTTTATTTGAGCACAGTTGATCGTGATTGTATTCAGCAAAACGTGACCTGAAGATCTTAATTGAAACTTCACTACATACAAATTTGCGGATGAAAAATATGCGACAATTATTTTTCCTAAACAAAAAATCAAATTCATGACTAAATCACCCAGATTAATTTTTCTCAAGAAAAAAAACTAAAGTTTACTTCTTTTCTCCCTCTCCCCATTTAATTTTACACAAATGGAACGACACCCTGATAAATCTAGCCAGATTAAAACTTCACTTCTGAAATCATTTTAACCACAAATACAGGAAAAATTGAAACCTTCACTGCTCCCGAAAACCGGAAAAACCGGCGCAGCGCCGTAGGACTCGAACCGGTAACATTTCGCGGTATTTCGCAGTAACTGGCCGAAAACCGTCACTTCCGGGTGAAATCCCACCGGGCGGGAATTTTCAAAATTTCGCCGGGTACTCGTTTCCGAAACCAGAGAGAAGCGCGAGGTGAATTTGTCGGAGGCTGGTGGAGCAGGGCGCGAGAGGGTTTTGCAAACTGAGTTGCCGCGGGCTCCCTCGACGCCGAGGCGTCCGCTGAGCACATGGTCGCCCCCCTGGCCCTGGCGTCGCGACGCTCATGCGCAGACGCCGCACAGTGGAACGCCCGCGTCGCCACGCCAAGCGTGAACCATATCACGCCGTGTTTAATTCCAGGGAATTGGTGTAAAGCGGCCAACTGACGCTTGTAACGATGGGCATTACTGCCGTGCTAAGTAAAAACGTCGGATCAGCATTCCAATGTTGCCAAATTTCTTCTCAGAATATATTTATTCGTATAAGAAGTTATGGATATTTGAAGGACTTGGAGGACATGGCACACAAATGCAATTTTTTTTTTCAAAAATTGAAATCTTCATGAACTCAACTAAAACAAGTTTGAAAGTATATTCTGCGAAAAGCTCGCGACTAAAATGTAACTTTAAAGCATCACAAAGTGATTTTAAACGTCCTTCTTGCCTTAAGGCTCCAGGTAATTTTGAAACCTTAAACGAGTATTTCTTGAAATAGCAAAAAGTGCACTTATATACCTTATGCCTTGTCTTCTGAGCCGCTCATTTTTCCTTGAAATTTTCAGACTTTTCAGATCAAATTAAGAATGAACTCTTAAAATCGGGAGAGAAATATTCCCTAATTTCCCTGGAAATTCGTAATTCGTCGAGGGAAACTTGGCAGCGCCTGGTGGCTCTTATGGCTTTTTTACTAAGCGCTGTAGATCACAGGCGCGCGATTCAGTAGGTTCCAGATAAACTTACAGGAATAATTCTTGATACAGTCGTGGTACAGGCGTGCCGCTAGTATGTGGGTCCTTAACAAATTACAAGAAGTAACGCACAAGTAGAGGTAAAATATTCTAGTATCTTTACTTGAATGGGTTCTTATGAAGCGCGTTAAGCAGAATGAAACCGAGCCACATCGGCTATTGCCAAATTAAATCGGGAAATTTAATTTTTTACATGATAACGGTTCTGCGGATTTTTGTGCAAATTTCTGCCCAGTGAATTTTCATAGGAACCTGCAGAAACGTTCTCTTGTAAAAAATTAAATTTCCTTATCAAATTTGGCAACAGCTGACGTCGCTTGGCTCCTTTCTGCTAAAAGCGGTCCAAGTATGCCTTGAATTTATGCGCTTTAGAGTCATCCTAATAAAATCTAGCACAAGTACATGAGCTCTAATATTTTGCTGAGATTGACATCCTCCTCCACGGGCCGGAGAGTGCGGACTCCTGTGCGACCGGGACGGACCAATGAGCGCTCGTGACGACGGATTCGCGGGACGAGTCGCGGGACACGACAGCGCACCCTCTTCATTTACTCCATTTTAGCCGGAGCCGGGAGCCCGGAGTCCCGGAGTCCCGGCACCAGACGCCGACGCGCACCGACACCCGGCCCGAGGACCCGTATTTATCTTGACGCAGTTTTCTATTAAAACTTTCCACTTTCCACTTTCCACTCGCGGCCCGGCCCTGTCGTTGCCCGCATCAACCGCGGTCCCTCCGTCTTGCGTCTTGCGTCCGCCCACGCTTTTGTTTTCGTCAGGAATTCGCCCGTGGCGAGCAATAACGGGATTCTTCCGTCCAAAGGGATCCGAAGGGACAGAATAACAATCCCTGCCGAGTTCCCAGTTTCGGGGCTAACATTCTTGACTCCTTGAGCCGCCAAGGAGGATCGGCCCTACAGTCCCTTTATACCGAGAGTAAAGACAATGCGAATCCGTTTTTGATCGGTTCCCTTATTTTAGGCCTTCACAGTGTCACAAACGAGAATGACGATTACACTGGGAAAAAAAAAAAAAAAAAAAAAAANNNAAAAAAAAAAAAAAAAAAAAAAACACTTTGGATCTACAGTCCAGACTCTTGAAAACATTGACAAGAAAAATTACTCTTGATTCAATCGGATTTTTGCTGGAATCAAAACGAAATCCGCTTAAATTAAGAGGCTTGGTTCTTGATTTAAGCTTAAATCTGATTGAATCAAGAGTATTTTTTCCTGTCGGTGTTTTTAAGAGTCTGGACTCTAGATCCAATGAGTTTTTTTTTCCAGTGTACATTTTCACCAATTGCAAAGATTATAAACTGGAATGTACCGGGGAATCGGGGGTAAGGCAAGAAACAGATGGACTGAGAGAGAATTTCACACACCCTGAATTTCTTTAACTCAACGTTATTTTGCTCATCGCATGTCTATATTTCAAGAAATGTATCATGATTTGGTCGTTTATTTGTCTTTTTTCGGGTCTAAACAAGGATCTGAAGGCCGATTTTGGCGAAGAATGCGGGTTTAGATGGTGTGCGATCAAATGCCAAAAAATCCGCATTTTTTGCCCAAATGTGCTTTTGACCCCATTATTAGGCTAATTTAAACCCCGAAAAAAGACCGAAATTTACCAAACTCTAATACGTTCCGTAATATATAGGCCTTCAATGAGCAAAAAGTTACAGAGGAAATGCAGGATAGGCCCAAGAACGGCTTTTAGTGATATCCTCCCTCAATTGGAAATCCGACCGGATCTGTCAAAAGGGACGTCATCGTTCATGAAAAAACTTTTCAAGAAAGCCAAAAGTAGGGAAAAATTTCAATATGGATAATTTTGATTGCCCTTGGTGGTCATATCTAACTGAAAATAAGTAGAAAGAAAAGTAAAAAAAAATAATGATAAACAATTAAAGAAATTGAAAGAACGACTCATTTTAATCTCCTTTAAAAATAGTCAAAGACTCTAGGATGAGTAAAAACTAGGAAATAATAAAATTACAGAGAAAAGTAGAAGCAACCAGTAGAGCAAAAAGGACAAGCGCTCCAGTGTGCGATCAACCGAAACCGAAAGGTCAAACCGAAGGGTGTAACACTAATAGGACAAAATAGGAGGTTACTTGGATCAGATTAATTTAAGCGTGTTTATTTATATCCTTGCACAATAACCTATTTTGAGTATAATGCTTCCAAAATGAATATGCAAAGTGCGCGCTTGAAATAGACGGGAGGCTCCGCTAACAATGAGGCCCTGAAAGATTTACAAGTCCCTGTTCTTGCGCACTGCTCAACGAACTAATAAGTTACGCAGGCAGTTCGACAGGGCTACTTTTTTATCTTTGACAATTTTATTGCGACTACTTCCGATAGCTCATCAATTTATCAATGGAATAACCTTAGAAGCATCTCAAAAATGCATCAAAGTTATATCAGCGGTCAGCGATGAATGTATCTCGACTGGTTTACAATAAAATATCAAGGGTCACTCTGGGTAGAATTTTCTAATACTTCTATTGGTGGTGTCAAAATGAGAATAAATGTCATAGTAGAAACGTAAAAAAATAGACAATTGTATTTGAGTAGCAACGGTAAATCTTAATTACAGTTTCCAAAAGTTTTATTACTGTTTTATTTACTTAAGGAAATATGATTTTACTTTTTTCGGGAAGTATTTTTGAAAATAAGTCAAATTCACCGGAAAAATCATGATAAATAATCATTTCTTACGAAGTACTTTAGGAGTAAATTTTCTATTCTCAAATGAGCTTCATGACGTGTAAACAAGAGATAATAGCGGTTTTGCCATTTATTGGTACCTATCCTTTTCCCATCTCAAACAACGGACAACGGTGAAGAATGTCGAGTCAAGTCAGGTTTGGTTGGGTTAAGCAACTAAACCAACTCCGCGATGAAGCTTAGGGTATCAAGCAAAATTGAAGGCGCAAATTGAGGTAACAACGGACAACGATGAAGAATTTTGAGTCAAGTTAGGTTTGGTTGGGTTAAGCAACTAAACTAACTCCGCGATGAAGCTTAGGGTATCAAGCAAAATTGAAGGCGCAAATTGAGGTCACTAGTCCGTCCCAAATAAAAAATAGGACAAAGCATCTGCTCCGTTACAAGAAATGTTCATGCTTCGATTTTTTATTATCTCGTTTCAATTTTTTAGCTATTTTTCACCATGAAAAAGAAGAGATTAGAATATTTTGAAATATTTTTATAAAATAAATAATGACCCGTATTTGAAATAACGAAAACTTTATCCCATAATGAAAATTATAAACGTCGAAGACTTACATTTCATTGTGCCTCTTAAATTGTATACTTTCTTATCGTCCAGAAAGTACATACGAAACGTATTGTAAAAAAAAAGTTTCGTGGAATTGAAATTTGATCTCATTAAGTATAACCACATCCCGTCGAAAAATTAATAAAAATCCTAATATTTATGCAGGAAATTTCCTAAATTGCATACATTGAAATCTGAAAAATCTTCAATACATTGAATTCATTTGAATCTCATTGAATCTTGAAATCTTGTAGGTACTTTAGTAAACAGTAAACGCTGTTAGTCACGTACAGGTGAGTGAGTAGGTATAACGTTGAGCTGAGCATGTGTAAGAGATGCGGTGAAACACGTAAGTAAGTTTAAATTCATTTTCCCGTTCGCTTCCTTCTTCCGTTCTCGGCTTATACGGCCCCTTGAACCGTGTAATGGAACACATCGTATTACGTACTTTTATAAGCACGGGCTTCCGACGAACAAGTGCCTCTACCCTGGTCCCTTTGTTTTCCGCTTCAAAGTCAAGACGGAAAACTTCAACCAGTTATGAAATACAAAGAATGAAGTATGTTGCGTACTCGGTAAAATTTCACTAAGGACTCACAATTATTGGAACAAGTTGCTTTCCATGGATTTATTACCCAAACAGTACACTGGAATTGCTGCTCAATTAGTGCAGTAATTTTAAGTAGAGAGATATAAGAGAGAGAAAAAAACCTTCAATCATGTATTAGTAATCTTGAGATGCATTGATTTGGGTCTAAAGGCCTGGATATACGATCAAATTCCGAACCTATTCCGATCAAAGTGGACCATTTGATGGCATTTGGTCATCAATCAATGGTCTTCTTCGATCAAAATTTGACGGCTCGTCCAATTTTATTCAAAAGGAGTGACACCATTCATCATTTTTTGCTGCACGGAACAGGACTGACCATGATGCTTTACGACAATCGGGTGGGAACTGGTTCCAGAATTTGATCGTGTAACGAGACCTAGAAGTAAACTAAATTGATGGAATTTCGTACGGAAATTTGCATCTAAAGAATTCCAAATTTTGAGGCACTACTCGGATCTCTGATTCTAATTAAACTCTTGTATGACTTGCTAGCTGAAGAAAGATTCACACTTTCAATGTAGTACTGAGTTATATACTTTAATTCGAATCTAATATTCACAAACAAACACCCAATAAAAAGCGGAAAAAAATCTAATTCTACAAAGTTCAATCGAATCCTGACCTAGGATACGAATCGACACCTCGCAAGCAATTGACGGGCAGGAGTGTCTCGAGCGAAAGTGTGTCACCGGTTCAAAGGTCGCGGCTTGGAAGCCGAGCCTGACGAAGGGACAACCGATCCTGGCTCACGTTCGGAGGGACAGAGATAGGGACAGGGTTCGGACCCCGGCCCTGGAAGTTGGAAGCTGGGAGCGAGAGGAGGATGGCTCGACCAATCAACTCGGGGAACAGCTGTTTCTCGCAACGGGAAGTGCGGGGCCCGCCTCTGTGCCTCCGATCACCCGTCCACTACGCAGCCCCCCCCCCCTCCAGACCAGGGACCCCTCGCACCCTGCCGTGGGCACGTTCAACATACCTGCTGTTAGTTCTCATGGTTCGCCGTGGTGCCAGTTATGCAACTACTCATGTTTTGTAAAATTTAGTATGAGCAGGGGTATGCTGTCTTCGTAAACTTAAAGACCAAAAAACCTTCACCGGACTCGAAAAATGATTGAAAACATTATAGGGTTTCGGTTACTCATAATGAAAGAAACAAAAATTGAGCTTGTAGCGGATTTCCTCTTTACTAATATGTAGATTCAGGCCGTGCTTAGAAAAAACAGTGTGCAAGAGAATGTTGAGGTAATTTTCAAATAAACATTCTTTGGCTTGCACAGTATTGCACACTTTTTTTTTTTTTTTAAGCATGGCCTGAATTTACACATTATCAAAGAGAAAATCGGCTAGAAACTCGATATATGTTCCTTTGAAATAACTGACTAGCATGTACCTCGACACACATTAAATACACCTCGAAACCTTGAAATAATTAGAGACAAATATTTGCACTTTAGAATTGAGTTATTTTATTGGCCACGTTGTTCTTGCTAATTCTAAGTAAATGCTTGCGAGGAAAGAGGCCTTTAAAAAGGCCATCTTTCCAGAATGATATTTGTATTTAACGTCAACTTTTGTTCTTAGTTTAGTGTGATCGTGTGCTATTTTTGAAGCCTAAATTAAACTGAAGTGTGTGCACCGCTGAATCATGCTCTTTTTGTGACGGAAAAATTTGATCGAATTCGCTCGGACCTAAGAAACGAACCTATATTTAACCAACTTAAGTCTTGAATATATTTTATCTTCGCTGATGCGCTTCAAAACTCGGCAACCGCGACGAACAGCCCTTAATGTATGCGTCATAAATTTTAAATCAATACCCGGGAATCAGCTGAGCAGGTTTACTCCAAGACCGCGACCAGAGGTTGAAAGGGGGTATTTACGCTGACGGCTAAAAAACAAGGGTTGCACCGGGGCGGGGGGTGGGGTCATGTTGTAACGAGATGAAAATGAACTCTGTCGGAAATGAAAAGTTGTGAGTTAGGCACCGGCGAGGAAAACCGGATAGAGGGAATATGGGCGGGGGGTGCGGAGGGGTGCGGAGGAGGAGGGGGGTACTTCCGAAGGAAAAGCTCGCAACCTCATTAGAATTCACAGCGAAGCTTTAGGATCCCAAAACCTAGCTTTCTTCGAAGGCACACAACCCGGACCGCCCGCAGGAACGAACCATGGTGGGATTACAACCTTAGCCTGCACCTCTTTCGCTCTTTCACCCTTTCGCCCCATCCCCTTCGCGCTCTCGTCATATCCTTCTGGTCTGGCTCTTTCCACACCCTGCGTGGGGCCAAGTTATATGTACCGCTATTCAGGTGAATAAATCATTTCAATCCCGAACTCCCCCCAGAGTTTGCGCTTGTCTTCAAGTTTGAGAACGCTCTAATTTTTCCGCCCCCGCTCCGACCGACTCGCGTTTCACCTTCGGTGAGGATTTTGAGGCTTTTCAAGACTTGACGTTTCTGAATATCTTCGGAAAGCCCCTCCGAGGAAAATTCGATCAAATTTGCGGCTCCGAAAGAATTTCTGTATCAAAATAGTTTGGATTTGTTATCATTAGTATAAAATAATGAAAGTGTATTTGTTAATGATGGGTCATATCGAAATCATTATGAGTTGATGAGAACTAAGATACGAGTGTACAAAATCATACAAATCTATGAGCAGTAGTATGTGGATAGTGTACATCGCGAAACACTTATCTCAAATTTCGGTGTTTTAACATCCCAGCTGTTAGTGTATTTTTTTCAGAAAAGCGCGGGCAATCGACATGATTTTAAATTTGAAAAACGAGAAAAAAATTAAAAATTCCGATGAATAATTTTTACCGGCCCTCTTTTTTAAGAATAAAAATAAAATAAAATGCGGTAAGAAATCTGAAATGTCACATATTAAGATACGTGTTTTGCCATTTTACCATCGATGCATAAATCGTACCCTGTAATGGGCCTGGTCGTTAGGTAATTTTCCTGCAACCTTCATTTTTAAATTCATGTTTTTTCCATGTTTAATTTCCACAGTCGGAGCAGTGTCTAAAATCTGTTTTTCCATTTTGCAGCTAATTTTCGCAGTATCATGGAAGCAGAAATTGCTGGAGTTAAAACAAAACAAAAACAAAAAGGACGCAAAGAACGAACAAAGGACGAAAACTTGTGAAGATGTAAGATACGTGCGAACATTGAAATAAACCGGACGGCGCACCTGATGGAATTGAAAACATGCAGGTTTAAAAACTTTTAAACTCCAACTAAGACTATCCATTATAATCGCCGACGATAAAATGCAACGTGTTTTTCTATCCGAACTTTTTCTTTTCGCTGACTTTCCCGGCACATCTAGAGCTGAAATCAGTTTCAAAGAGGCTTCTCCTCGAAAAAGTTTCGTAATTATTCAAAGAGCGTCTTGCACCCGAAAAAATACCGTCTTTTGTGTTAATTTATCTACCTTCCGAGGGAACAAGTACCAACACTCGAACAAGAAAAAATGCACTGTTAAAAAGAGGGTGGAACTTTTTAATTAACGGGATTCTTAGGCAACAAGGGGTCATATCTGCCAAGTGAGGCGGTTAAACGATATTTTTACATCATGAAGCATTTAGAGAAACTCTCATCAAGAACATTACGATGTGCATGTGAGTTGTTTGGCTCCAACGGCAAAGCTTTACAGTGTGTTCATACATTTTCGATCTTCAAAATGAGAAGCAAAAATGATGATGAGGAAGAAGAGAAAGAAGAAAAAGTGAGGAGAAACTAGAAGAAAAAAAGAAATGAGACAGGCAACTTCCTACGTTAAATGCATTCAGAAGAAAAATCCCATTTTTTAACACATAATCGATTTTTTGTCAAAAATATTGATTAATATAATTCATTAATTAGAAAAATGTATTGGTATAATTTTATTATATTCAGGAGATGAAATTATTATTCCCCAATTTTATCCTAACGAAACTGTGAGCTAACAGAGAATACATAATATAAAAGAAATTAATTAATCAGTGTTCGTAATTTCAAGAGGGCAACTAATTGTGCACTGTGGTACGTTTGTGGCCTATAGGAAACGTTGAAGGAGAATATTACGCGTTTTACTAAATACGTTGTGCATGGCAACCCTGAAAAAGAGCAACGGGGTGGGGACAGGGATCCGAGGCTCGCAATTGTTTTTGGAGGAGGGGACGGGAAGGAGGGGGAGAAGGGATGACAGGGGAGGGGGCTGAATAAACAAAAATAAAGCAGAAACAATTTACTCCGGAGTAACGAGGAAGCCGACGAGGAGATCCATCAATTTCGGTTCAAATTAAATCGACGCTCCTAACAAACATTGGAGGAAATCCATACCCCACGAATAGCAGATCTCCGAATACTTGTTAATGTATGTTGTCGGATTTGACGCGTTAAGTCTGTAGCAAAGGGAATGGGGCAATAGACAGGGTAAGAAATTTAGCACTACAGCGCATGATTTCTCACCAAAATTTCACGCAGGAAATATCAAAGATCAAAAATTCCAAAATGAACTCATATTTGAGGGGCTTGAAGGACAAGGCGCATATTTATGAGTGCATTTTTTTGAAAAATGCCAAAATTGAGCTCTTACTGATCTCAAGGAAAGGTAGTCTTAATGCAAATTTTGTGAAAAATTCGGTCGCAAATTCCAATTTTTAAGCATCGATAAGTCAGTTTGAACTTTTTTTCGGCATTAGGATCCATGTAATTTCGAAACTTCGAACACGTACGTCTCGAAATATCGAAAACTGCACGTATGCGCCTTGTCCTCCAAGCCTCTCATACGAAAAATAATTTTTCGCAATCTAAAAGTCGCGAAAAAACCATGATCACAGTAGTCTAAATCACGCATCAACGCATGCGTTAGCGATAAAGCACAAACATTCTCAGCAATGTTTTATTCGTATGTGTTAGTCATAAGAATATCCTCCCGCAGACATTCTGGGAGCTGGCAATCCCTCATTTCTTGTAAAACCCCCTGTCGTCATCCTTTTACAGAGCGTTTCTTTCGTCTCCACCCAGGGAGAACCCAATTAGGCATCTTTTGACAGCCTTTTTCCATCATACGACTAAAATTCCCGTACCAGATTAGCTGTTTAGCCATAATGCTGAGCAAGATATACAGAAAAAATTAAAAAAATTTCACTTTAAAAAGAATTAACAAGCAAAAATTTTGAAAATATTTTATGGGACTCCGATAAAATTCAGGACGATTGACGGAAGATGTGACAACGTAGGAGGACCCTGGTGTAATGCGCCTTGTTGCGACGAGAGCTGCACGTTTCACGACGTCGACGGTCCTACGTCTTGTTGCACCGGAGAGTGAAGAGGTGTCGGCGGTCCCGCATCCACTGTCACCTAAAATTCCCCACCGTGGAACCCCGAACCCTCTCGATTCCAAGCCCGTCTAGTGTCTCTTTGAACTCCACATTTAAGTTCGAGCAGCTGAACACCGTAGTTAGATTACCGGAGTTTCAGCAAAGACTCGTCTTCTTGAGACGGAACTTGAAAAAAAGCTCTTTTCTTACGGGCTCTGATAATAATCTAAGTAGAGGTTTTTCTCGATAAATATTTGAAATAGACGTTTTAGCAACAATTCGACGTTTCCCTGACGAAAGGACGTAACAACATTTCAATGTTGCCAAATTTTCCCTCGAAAATTGCATTTTTGCAAGGAAAATCTTGGGCATTTCTAATTAAACATTTCACTGGCTTTTGAGACGGAACTTGAAAAAAAGCTCTTTCCTTTGGGGCTCTGATAATAATCTAAGTAGAGGCTTCCCTCGATAAATATTTGAAATAGACGTTTTAGTAACAATTCGACGTTTCCCTGACGAAAGAACGTTACTCCATCTCAATGTTGCCAAATTTCTCCTCGTAAATTGCATTTTTGCAAGGAAAATCATGGCCATTTCTAATTAAACATTCTACTGAGTGCTCTTCTGATCTCATGTGTAAATTAGACTAATTTTGAACGCAAATTACGCATGTAGTAATAAATTAGCAAAGAAATGAAGTTACGTTCCTCCATCCGAGAAACGACAATCTCGTTCCGTAATCTTTCTTCAAAAAGAAGAAGATATGGTTTTTTATGACGATCAAAAACCACCTTAAGATACCCAAAGAAGGAAGATGAAGTACAAGAACGAATATCACTATCCTGCAAACAATAGTCATATTTTTCAATTTTCTCGGCGCTGAAATTCGTCCACTTTCCGCGGGGGGCGAAATATTCGTTTACTGAAAGACTGGGGATCAAAACAAGGCTCTTGTTAAGAGCAAGGGAAATTATCGGATTAAGAGTGTCGTTCCTAAGTGATCTCGTTGCGGTATAGTTGATAGCGGCCGTCATCCGCCCTCTGTTCCGGAGCACCAAGTGCCAACTCCTGGATAAAAATAATTCCATCGGCTTCGTCCCGGCAGAAGCGACCGCGGGATGATTTAGGGGCGCTACAACAGGGACAGGGACGTCAGCGTGTGTGGAAAGGATGAGCAAAAGATCCCGCCGAGACACCGGGATCATCGGGAAACCGATATTTGAGATAGAACAGTTTTCACAGAACCCACCATGCGAGTGCTTTCGGCGAGCCCGGATACGATGCCAGATCGTATGAAAATTTGGTTATTTTTTAGAGGTTTCGTCACATTTTGGACTAAGAATCACAAGCGTCATGCGACTTTTCAAAATTTCCGACGCCATTTTATTTTTTTACGGAGAAATTGTTCAACGAAGCTGTCCGAAAATTTCACTGAATTTTCCTTGTGCTACCAGTAAACTTGAGTGAAATTTTCAAACAGATTCAACCATCGATTTCTCTGTAAAAAAATACAATGGCAACGGAAATTTTGAAACGTCGCATGGCGCTTGTGATACATTGGTGACGATTTGACACGCGGAAAAAAAATGAAAAAAAAGGAATGTCAATGGACCATTTAGAAGCAAAATACGAATTTAAGCCTTCTGATTCGTATTTCATGACCAAAATTTGAATTGGTTGGCCACAAGAAACGCAATACTGTCCTTGAATCAAATCGAGCCTTACAACGGTATTGGCACGCCTCTCAATCGAACATTTGTTCCTTTCCCGCCATTTATTATTCGAAGTGTAAGCAATTGGCTAGAGCTGAACCAAAGCGTCAAGATTTTTGGAATGAAAGTAATATGCTTTCCTTTTCTATTTCCAAAAAAAATATGCAATACGGCAAAAAATTATTGGGTTTCGGCTACTCATAATTGGAAGGCACTAAATTGAGTTTCTAGCCGATTTCGCCGAAACGTCTGCTTTTGTCAAAATGTGAAGGTTATTTTTAAATAAACATGCAATTCTCTTGCGCACTGTTTTATTGTTAAGCATAATATGAATTTGCAGTTTGCCTTTGCAGAATCGGCTAAAAGCTCAATATGTTTCTCCTTACAGCTGAAATGTTCAAACAAATCCTAAGGTAATAGGAAGCTTTTTTAATACCCCTAATAGCTCCCGGCAGTGGAGATGGACTTGTTCTGGTGTCCATCTTGCAAGAAACGTCCATATTTCACACTTAACTGGACGATAAAAACCGAGATTTTGATCTCGACCGCACAACGCCGGGCGCGGATAATTAAATTAAATTTTTGATGGAAATCGCGCGAAGGAAAAAAGGAAGCTCTTACTTGCGCGAGGCGGCGTGATAGACAGCAGGGTTCAGGGGCCGGGCGCCCGGGGCGGGAGGGGGGCGGAGAAGTTTTCAGGGGCTTCAGGGAAAGGGGGCTTGTCAGGATCGGTTTCAGCGGGCCGTAAATCAGGGCGCCCGAAAGTGTCACGGGGCGCAAATTAAATATATGGAGCATCCTTACATAACGTTGACTGGCCATAAATCACCGGTCGGTTCTGACAGACGCGACAACTGAACGCCACCCCCGCGGAACCTTGCCCCCC